CGACGGAACGTACTTGTATGTTAGCGACGGTACGTACCTGTATGTTACCGACGGAACGTACCTGTATGTCACCGAAGGTACGTACCTGTAAGTTACCGACGGAACGTACTTGTATGTTAGCGACGGTACGTACCTGTATGTTACCGACGGAACGTACCTGTATGTCACCGAAGGTACGTACCTGTAAGTTACCGACGGAACGTACTTGTATGTTAGCGACGGTACGTACCTGTATGTTACCGACGGAACGTACCTGTATGTCACCGAAGGTACGTACCTGTAAGTTACCGACGGAACGTACTTGTATGTTAGCGACGGTACGTACCTGTATGTTACCGACGGAACGTACCTGTATGTCACCGAAGGTACGTACCTGTAAGTTACCGACGGAACGTACTTGTATGTTAGCGACGGTACGTACCTGTATGTTACCGACGGTACAAACCTGTGCGTCACAGACGATACGTACCTGCATATTAGCGAAGGTACTTACCTGTACGTTGGTATTGTGGAAGATGGCGTTGATATCGTCGGTAAATCTGAGAAAGGCGGGGTCGGCGTAGTCATACCGAGCACCGAATATGATGGAGACAATCACGTTCAACACACAGCTGCTGAGAAGAGCCTGCGGTGCCGTGTATATGTATATAATGTCTGTACACACAGACATCCCCCCACACACACACACCCATGCACCCACACCCACGCACGCACACACAACCACGCACACACCCATGCACGCACACAGACAGACACACGCACACACATACACACACACACACATACACACACGTACATGCACACACGCACACATACCGACACACGTGGATCAAGTGATTGCAAAATAATGAGTGTATGGTAGAGAGAATAATAAGGGAGCGTCAGTGAGTAAGAACAAAGACAGTGTGTGTGAGAGAGAGTTAGAGATGGATATATATATATACATATCAAGAGCTAATAATACCTCTTGCTATTATTAGCTCTTGATATCAAGAGCTAATAATTATTAGCTCTTGGTATTATTAGCTCTTGATACATATATATACATAAATATATACATATATATATATATGTATATATAAGTGGGGATAGATAGTTAGAAAAAGGCTCAAGAGCGAGACATCTTGTGCATAAAATATTTCTGGTTATTCTTTCTACCTGTGGATCGAGCGGCTCCCCGTTGGTGTCCCTTAGATGTGCGAGACAGGCGGACGCCTCCTCCTGGATCTTCTTCTCTATGCTGACCTTCCCCATGCCGAACTCACGCAACTTGGTGAGCGCAAACTTCCTATGCTCCCTCCATAGCTTTCCCTCGCTAAATGCAAGTCCTGCACAAGCCAGAAGGATATAGAATCTATGTACATCCGGCCAGCTGCATACATTGCAAGGATGATCAATTTGAAAATCAAAATTCCGGAAAAACTATCGACGTTCCTATTTTTACTGCGGTACACAAGAATCTAGAATCACCGCGAAAATACGCAAATTAATTGTTATGCTAATGCAATTATCATTTTAAAGTTATTATTATATTAAATTAATTGTTGATAATATAATAACAAGGACAAATAATCCCTTTATGTCTCAGGTGCTCTCATGCGCTCCTTGGATTTCTGTGCCACTAATAATAATAATATTTTCTACCGATAAAGTATATTATTATTATTATTATTATTATTAATATATTACACTTATTATTATTAATAATTTATTAATTCATTTTCACTGGGTGGTTGGAAACACGTTAAGACATATCATATGTAACGCTGAATAATAGAAATTTAAAACCTCTGCGTATTGTAATTTATTTCAATATCTATAGCTATATCTATATATATATTTATATATATATATCTATATATATATATATATATATATATCTTATATATAATATAGTAATATGCGTGTGATGTTGTGTGGTATGTGCGTGCGTTACGTTCGTGTGTGTCGTGCGTGTGTGTGTGTGTGTGTGTGTGTGCGTGGTGATGTGTTGATGTGTGTGTGTGTGTGTGGGTGTGGTGTGTGTGTGTGTGTGTGTGTGTGTGTGTGTGTGTGGTGTATTGGTGTGTGCGTGTGTCGATTGTGTGTGTGTGGTGTGTGTGTGTGTGTGTGTGTGTGTGTGCTGTGTGTGTGTGTGTGTCTCCCCCGCCACGCATGATTGCAACGATGATCATTTAAATTGATCCCGGAAATTTTATTCCGCTAATTAGGTCAAACATGAAATGTAATGTCATCTGAGGAAAACGATCGTGTCGATGTATTGTAATGTGCGATGGTTTATTTATCGGAAGTTTGAACCGGTTCTATGGAGGTGGCCCTAAACACATGCCTGTTCCGTATATATATTATTTATATATATTATATATTAGGTATATAATCAATTCTAAAATAAATAGCGAGCGTAGAAAGATCTTACACAGCGAAATGTATTAAAGTATGCTGATGTTCCCTTTGTCCTGACTTTTTAAGTAGCAAGTTAATATATATATATTATATATATATATAATATATTAATATATATACCACCAAAATACGCACAATGAGTTATACAGCGACTATAAAGAACACCGTTTCGGAGTTTCGATCACAGTCCAGCTATTTTCCG